TTATACTCCCTCCGTCCCTTTTTAGTTGTCCACTTTAGAAATGGCACACAGATTAAGGCAACAATGATTAGCACAGTGAAGTTACAATTTTACCCTTATGACAACTTTTCACTTCAAAATTACAACCACTTATTTGAATTCAAGTGAAATAAATTGGAGAAAAACAACATACACTTTTACAATTTTCAAGAAGTGTAAATAAGGGTATAATAGGAAAAAATTTGTTGTCCTTTCTTGATTTGTCAAAATGGACAACTAAATAGGGACAACCAAAAAAGGAAATATGGACAAGTAAATAGGAACGGAGGGAGTAAGTTATATATGTTGTGTGACTATAAATTAATTATTCACTAGTCACTAATTATTGCATCATAATTAATCAAACACGTAAACTAAAGTTACACACACTTGTCAGTACTAATGTTCGGGCAGGATCAAGCAGCTGATATTTTTAGAGAAGAAAACGCTGCCCGGACTGCCCGTAACGGCTGTAGAGAGAGATTACGGGCAGCTCTCTCTCAGTAACCACTAACGAAGAGTTCCTTCTTCAAGCTGATTATATTTACCCCCATCGCTTGGTCTATGTTGATCGGACGGTCCAGAATGAACGCTGCTTTTGATCTTAGTTTCTCTACGATATAGCTCTGAAAACTCTCCGATCTGCTTCATCGGAGCGACGATCTGTATTTCCGGTGAGTTTACCGGCTCCGATTCGCTGAATTTTAGCTACTTCTGTTTTTCTTCTAGAAAATTCCGCCGTTCAGTTTAAATTTTTTTAGGAAAGAGTTCTTCTCCTTGTTTTCTGTTTTACGGCTCCGATTAGCTCAACTTTATCTACTTCAATTTTTTCCTTTAGAAAAATCGGTGGTTCTTCTCGTTGTTTTCTGTTTTCCGGCTCCGATTAGCTGAATTTGTTCCAACTTCAGTTTGTTTTTTTCCTCGTAGAATTTTGTGCGGTTCAGTTTATTTGACAATTGATGAAGTTTGTTGAGTTCTCCTATCACGATTTCACGAAATTTCTTTTTTGCTCCGTAACGAGATAAATTCTTCTCGTTGTTTTCTGTTTTCCGGTTCCGATTAGCTGAATTTACTCTACTTCAGTTTATTTTTCTTTCTAAAACCTTCTGAGGCTCAGTTTATTTCGCCAAATTCTCTAGTTTACTTCGTTAAGTGATGAATTCTTCTCATTTTTTTCTGTTTTCCGGCAAAAATAAGTTCTCCGATGAACGGATGACATTTTTTCCGGCACAAAAGTAGTCGTCTTCTTCACTAGCAGCTTAGAATAGTCTTATCGTTTTCTGAAATTTTGTGTTTGGTCATAATCTAACGGCTGAGAATTGATGGATGCAGGGATCTGCGCTAGTCTGTGTAATTGTACCGTACCGTACTGATGGAGACAAGCAGAGGCTCAGTCAGTGTTGCCATGATTAGACAGAGTATGCTAACTTGCGCCTGTCAATCACTGGTAGCTTTATTTATTTCTTCGCTGGTTAAAACTCAGATCCTCACTCTCACCCAGGTACTTAAAAATAACTTTGATCGATTTTTATATTTCCGTTTCAATTTATACAACATAGTTAAATTTATTTGAATTTATGACTAAAGTTTAAAATTCTGAATCTTGAAATCTTACCCAAATCACATATATATTAAAACAAATACACATGTTCATCATCGCTTTCAGCATATTTAATATTATATAGTCACTTGCTTTTCAAATTTATTAAATAGAGCTTGTTATGATTATTTTAGGCAAAATATAAATTTGGAAAAAGTCTTATGTCTGTCAGAAGCTATTTTGTTTTTCTTAACATGCGCCGGAGCCTGGATATTTTCCTGGTTTTTAGTGATTCTGTACGTGTCATATATTTTTTTAGTTTCTCTATCTTATCCTCTTTATCTCATTTTCTTTAGAAAAAATTTACGGAGACGAATTATATCCATGAGAAGAAAATGACTAAGACCCTTTTTCTTGATCTGTTCATTTTTCTACTGCTTATATGGAAGATCAAAAAATTGATTTATTTTTCAGTGGAGTTCGTTACGTTGAATTTGTCTAGCATAATTTATAATTTTTTATATAATTTACGAACTATTTCACGTAAACACACCCAAAAATAGCAATAATGGATTTCCTTCGATTAAAAAAAAAAAACAAAAACTAGAACATATTTTATGTGTTGTATATTCCAATGGGGAGTGCGGTTGCATAAATTCGACAACATTATTTAGGTCCACTTGAATGTGAAATATCTATAATTTTGTGAAAAAAATAATAATGTGGGAATATAATCATGTCCAAGGAATATTCCGTCTTTTATGCTCTTTGCTAACTTGAATAACCAGTAGATTGACACGTCAGTTATCTGGTTTCTTTACGTATTGGATCAAAAGATAAGCCCAATTAAAATATCCATCTAAAGATATGCTTGCTCATAACTTCAAAAAAAACAATATTGAGAGCATGAGGAAGGGAATAGGTAGACCGAAGAAGTTTTAGAAAAAAATAATTAGATAAGATATAGTACATCTGCAAAAACATGATCCTACATAGAAGAATATATCATAGAAAGTTAATAAGTAGCGGCGCACTGCATGGTTTCTCTATTTTATTTCCTTTCCTTCGGTTTTCATATTGATTGTAGTTGTTATTGGTATTCTTTATTTTATTTTCTTCTTTTTTTTAAGAACTTGTTTTATATATTTTACTTGAATCGAAGATTTATCAAAAACAATCTATCTATCCTTATAGAGTAGAGGGGAGGTTATGTATACTTTACCCTGTAAGATTTCACTCAAGTATTTAATATGTCGTCTTAATATATTATGAACTATTAAACCAAATTTTCATGTAATACGAGGTTCAAGATCCAACCTATGGGACCAAAACTGCTTAGGAGAGTATATTAAGAGGTCGTTTAGCTTAACTTAAAAAAATAGTTTGGAGTATTTCTTTTAATTTTGAACTTTTTTTAAGTCATTTTTAACTTTTTCAAAAGCTAAAAATGACTAAAAAAGTAAATTTGATCAAATTTTAAGTCAAAATCCAAACGGAAATTATTTTGAACCTATCCTTGAAACAGAAAATATTTTATAATCATTTCCTCTTCAATGTAGCAACTCATTTATTTATGCGGAGCAAAAATGCTGACCCAGTAAGTTTTACTTACACCAAGCTAGGCCAGGCCACTTTTATTCGGATTATAATTTTAATGTTGTTTTTATATTTAGGTGTACTTGAAGCTACTCGAACAAAAGGGTAAAAAGGGTGAAGAACATCATATATCTTCCCCAAGCAAACCTCTTGATGCCGAAGAAGACGGCAATGAGACGGGGGATGATGATGATGAAGGTGAAGACTTGTCATCCGAAGATGGAGGAAATGTGAACACCAATGATAGCAACTCCAAGAAACATCCTAGAGAAGAGGAAGCCGGTGCTGAAGAGAATGGTGATGATGATGATGATGAGGGTGGTGGTGAAGACAGTCCAGATGATGAAGATAATGATAAACCTGATGAAGAAGATGACGACGAAGATGGGCCTGATGAAGGCGAGGAAGATACTGTGGAAGAAGAAGAGGACGATGAAGAAGAGGAAGAGGAAGAGGAAGATGAGGAAGAAGAAATTCAGCCACCAAAAAAGAGGAAGAAGTAAATTAATTATCCACAACAGGCTCATCTCCTCTTCTATCACTATCGAGGTCTGTTATGTTGACACTTGCTGTAACTGTGTCTTAATGCACAACTAGAGAGTACTACTTAAAAAACTCCTTAACTGCGGCAATGTTTAGTGGATGTTTTCTATTCATAAAAATCACTATGATTTGCTGCTGAATGAGAATAGATCAAGACTTTGATAAGACAATTTTGAAGTTAATACAACAACAGACGTATTCAACTCTCGATTAATTAGGCAAAAAGTACAATACATCAGGGAAAGAAGTCTTGCTTCTGATATGAATATGATCAAAATCTATGTAGTAAATTCTACATAACTACAACCAACCTAGTCTAATGACAAGTGACAGACGCAAAGACATAGGGTTCACGAACACGAACAAGAACAAGTAAATCTTAAGATTATGTTGCTACCACTCTTCAAAAAACAATATCAGACACAGGTGTGTGTCGAATCCTCCAAAACCAATTAGGACCTGAGCAACATAATATATCATCAATATGTAACCTTGTCAACATCTGTAGCATGAAGCGCTACCAACAGAAATTAAACTTGTGATCATACCTAGGAGAGTGTTGGGCGATCGAAACGGGATAAGGGAGGAAAAGGAAGAGAACTAATGCAAGATAGTTTTAACACTTCCTTTCTTCAAATTTAATAAGCTTTTTACAGGTGAATATAATATACAAAGAGAAACCAGAAAGTTAATGGTACAAGCTAAATAATGAAAAACATACTCCCAATGACAAAATTTCACTTGAAAGTGAATAAGAACAAAGATAACATCCACCTCAAAACTTCTAAAGACGAGCCTAATGAAGTGAGAAGCGTGAATTTTCATGCAAAAGGAAGTGACGAAATGACTTTCATTCACGTTTGAAAGTCATTTCTCAAAAAATTAAAAATGAAGGAAAAAAAAGAATAAAATGAATCAATATCTATTCTAAAAGAAAAAAAAAACAAGCCTAATTAGCTCTTAGTTGCGCGGACTCTTCACTTTTGATGTCGCAACCGTGTCGAATTCTCCAAAAATACACTACTTTTGGCAAATCCGACACACACTCATTGACATTTCTGAAGAGTCCGAGCAACAAAGAATTAGCTTGAACAAATTAAAACAACAGAAAAAATAAGACCTGTGTTTTTAAAAGAAAAAGATACATGACTGGTTAAAATGGAGAAAAAAATCAAAATTGTCTATTAGTTAACAACAAAACTTCACAAACCCTAAGTCATCCTCGTAAAAAGTCGAATAACATTAGGAGTTTTTTTAAACAGAATACAGATATGAATAGGTAAATTTTTGAGAAAAAATATAAAAAAGTTATATTAGTAGTTAGCAATAAACATAGAAGAACCCCTAGTCATCCTTGTTAATTGTTAAATGATGTTTTAAAACTAAGCAAAAGACTATATACACACACACACAGAGAAATTTCAAGGTAATAAATTTTTCATACTTAAAAAGCATATTTTCACGCAAAGAGGGGAAAGAGGATATGGCATACTATAAGGCCTAATAACAATATCAAGAAAATACTTGGCCAAATCAGAATATTGGAGCAAATATAAGAGCAAGATTTTTTTTTTTGACAAATCCACTTCAAAACAAGTCTAGAAGGAATATATCCACCAAAGAGAAGGGTAATGCATACGGCATTATCTTAGCAAGTTCTATAGGAACTTGGCTTATCAGTAAGAAGTATGGATTGTATGAAAGTAAAGATATAAGAAACATATCGCTACAAATCCGATAAAACCCAAGCCACTGACAAAGACTGACCCTTAGACACTCATCAGATGCTTCAATGACTTCGTTTCATCATGGTCAGGCGTTGTTCATCTGCAAAATCATACTCAAGTAAGCACCAGATAATAGATTTAACACGGGAGAAGGGGCTGGGGCTACGTAAAAGGCGAAGCGAAATCAAAAGGTCATTTAACTGATATAATAAAAAGAGAAGGAAGAACGGGAAGCAGAGACTTTTGGATACTCAAATTAAGAACACATCTTTGCATATTCAATGCTTGGTAGTAGGTTCAAGCTGATGCAAGTATAATCAAGAGGGATATACCTTTTTTTTAAAAACAATTTATCAATTAATTAACTCGTACTCTCGTCCTTGCTTTACCTGGGCTCCCTAATTTCACAAAGAAAGGTGTAAAGTATCATAAGAGACCTTTGTTTCTGGAACATGCTAGTTTTTCCCATGCATAGGAGGCAGATTGAATTTTTTTTATTTTGGGGGAACAGATATAATTTAATATGTAATATGATAACAAAGAATCAACATCACGGACAACAAATGTTGTCGTTAGATTGGTTAAACATACCTTAGTCTGAATTTTTTCTTCACATATATATGTCACATATTCATAGCACAAGTGAAAGGGGAGGAGCACAGCGGGTATCTGATTAGCTGGCGGTCGCAAAGGTAGCAGGATAAAGGTTGACTATTTTCCATTTTCACTACAACGCTTTACTCGTAATGAATCTTTACTTGTTGAATGGTTGGAATTTTCTTTTATCTTTTAACTCGTTCACATTCTTCTTTCCTTTACTCCAAATGACTACTTTCACCCTCTTTTCAGCTGAGATGTTACCCAGATAGCTTCTGGTTGTAGTTTGCTTAGTGAACTTGAGATTCTTTATGATGAATGACCATAGCTGTAGAATCTACATGTCATATATCTCTATTGACTTTAGCTCACAACAACTGAACCATAGGTTCTAAGCCAATTCATTGGTTTTTGAGATAGATCAATAAACTAAGCCTCAATCCAAACTAGTTCGGTCGGCTATACGAGTCCTCTATACCCATTCAATCAATTTATGACCATTTTACATCACCTATAACTAATCTAAAACAAATTCTAGGCACTTGTTAGCAAAGGCGACCCTAGGATTTGAGGAAGACAGAGGCACTACTAGACGCAGAGTACTGACACTTCATCGGAAAATATTGTCAAAGAAGTATAATAAGGAAGGTATCATAAATATAAAGTAAACGAGAGTGTAACATGGTTCAATGTTTGGTTTGATGGTTTTGACCCTGTATACTTTGAGGTTGCTAGTTCGAATCTGGCTTGAGTTTTTATTTATATGGATTTTTTCTTTTTTGAAAAAATGACAACAAAAAATGTAGTGACCAAGAATTGAACACAGGACCACCTTGCTTGCGAAGAAGCGGAAAGATAAGCATTGGACCAGTGCACCAAATCAGCCTTTGCGTTTAATGGTGCACAATTAAATATATTATCCTTATTTAGGAATATACATGTATAATTTTTTTCTGAAGTTAACACATGCACCCTCAAATGTTGGTCCGCCTCTACTAATTAGTAAGATATACCAATTATAGTTGAATACTTTTAGCAACAAAGTAGGGCACTCAGAGACGAGAAAATTTAGGAAAAAGTGAGGAACTTTACTTCTACTGCAAGAAAAAACATGGAAATAAGAACAAAAATTTAGGAACAGTCAGATTGCCTGTACAGATGTTCTAGCATACCAAATAAGCAAGTTTAGAAAATACTAATAATCACATGTAAGTAGAAGGAACAAATCAAGAAAATGCAGTTTATGGAAAGAATAATCTTAATAGTTAGCAGAAATGATGATAGAAGTTCAAATAGTGAGACACTGTATGCAAATGTCTCCAAAGTAAGAATTGAATTAACAAAATTACTCTTTCTGTTCAATTTTACTTGTCTACTCGACCATATCAACAGAAAAACAATCTTTCTTTCATATCTTACCCTTAACATTAATCACTTATTTCCTGAGAACTTTTTACAATGTTATTAGTCATGGATATTATAACAAAATATGCACATCATTTATTACTATCTCTACTTATTAAGGGGAGTGCAAAGTCTATCGTGGACAAGTAAAAAATGAACAAATGGAGTACAACTTTACACAAAACATAGTAATAAGAGTATCAAATAGAAGACCAAGTACCTGAAGTGCGACGGGTAGCCACTGCTTCCCGGATGCTTTGCAGATGAAGGTTGGCCAACCTGCTTGTAGAGCTGCAATAAGCCGGGCACCACTCCCCCAGTAGAACCACCTGTGCTGCCACCAACACCACCATATGCCCCTAAACCCCCAGTAGAACCCCCTGTGCGGCTACCAACACCACCATAATGCCCCTAAACCCCCAGTAGAACCACCTGTGCTGCTACCAACCCCACCATATGCCCCTAACCCCCCAGTAGAACCACCTGTGCGGCTACCAACACCACCATATGCCGCTAAACCCCCAGTAGAACCCCCTGTGCGGCTACCAACACCACCATAATGCCCCTAAACCCCCAGTAGAACCCCCTGTGCTGCCACCAACTCCCCCATATGCCCCTAAACCCCCAGTAGACCCACCTGTGCTGCTACCAACACCACCATATGCCCCTAAACCCCCAGTAGACCCACCTGTGCTGCTACCAACCCCACCATATGCCCCTAAACCCCCAGTAGACCCACCTGTGCTGCTACCAACCCCACCATATGCCCCTAAACCCCAGTAGAACCACCTGTGCGGCTACCAACACCACCATATGCCGCTAAACCCCCAGTAGAACCCCCTGTGCTGCCACCAACTCCCCCATATGCCCCTAAACCCCCAGTAGAACCACCTGTGCTGCTACCAGCACCACCATAAGCCCCTAAACCTGAAACACCCCCACCTAAACCATCTAACCTCCCACCATATCCTGCTGCAATCCCCATTCCACCACCCATTTGCTGCCCGAAACCACCAACTCCTACGAATGGATTCCCATACGCTCCATACGGATTAGCAAGTACTCCACCATAAAACGGATTCATCATCGGCACATCCGCGTTCTGACCCAACATCCCCATACTGTGACCAGCAGCAACTGGAGCATACACACCTTGCCCTGGTGGCATTGCCAGCAGTGACTGCTGTACAACCTCCGTGGTGATACTAGCCGCTCCACCACCAACTTTTCCCTCAGCCGCCTTCTTGCAATGCAATTGCCTCCCCTCAAAAATCTTAGAGGGTTTTTCCAGACATTTCTTCGCCGCCTCCACAGTTTTGTACACAAACAAAGCATACCCTTTTGATTTCCCAGTTGATGGATCAAATCCCATTGGTCCAGACTCAATTTCCCCAAACTTAGCAAAAAAGCTCCTCAATTTCTCTGAATTCACATCCTTCGGCACATTACTCACATAGATCTTCCGGTTACCAAATTCATTAGTCCCAGAAACAGCAGTCTCTTTCATTGAAGCCAACTTACACGAAGCCAAACGATTGTTGATCATCTTCTGAGGCTCTTTCAGCGCTTTCGCAGCTGATTTCCTAGTTTTAAACAGAACAAAAGCATACCCTTTAGCCTTTCCAGTAGCATGATCCATCACAACGTTGCATTCCTCAATCTCCCCATACGGTTCAAAGACGGACAGCAGCGCCGGACGCGTGGTCTCACGCGCCAACCCATAAACGAAGATTTTCCTGTGGCTGATGTCTTTATCAGCGTTTGACTGGATAAGCTCGTAAAAAGCAGGGAGAGCAGCTGCGGTATCCACCGCTAGGGAAACCAGTTGATCCTTTGAGAAAGGTTCGAGAAGTTTCTGAATTTTCACCGGTAATGGGTCGGAGTCGGAATCGGAATCGGAATCGGAATTGGGTGGGTTAGAAAAATTGGATTTGGGTGTTTTTTGCTGCTGCTGCGGCTGATTCTTGTTGATTTTAGAGGGCGTAGCAATGGAATCTGGTGCCTTCTTGACAAGCTTTCGCTTTTTCACCTCGTTGTTAGCAGCCATGGGAGCTTGAAGGTAAGGATTTTTGAGTGAGATTTTTGCTTAAACACGAAGGGAAAAGAGGGCAGCAGGGTTTTGGAGTCTGCTTTTGATGATTCACCTTGTTTTTATCAATGAGGAAATAGACAAGACTTTTACCTCTGTTCTTGAGGCCCACAAAGACAAAGGAAGCATTGGCCCAATGAGATCATGTAGATTCATAGAAGTATAAATTACGAGTGGTTTTCGAAAGATTCTCGATTCAAATGCAATAAATAAAAATAAAAATATGAGAATAAAAAGAAATATGTCAAATAATAAGTAAAGCATTGCGTTATATCTAGGGAAAGAAAAAAATAATAACGATAAAATAATAAGGTAACTAAAAAAAATACATGTATAAAATTACTATAACAGATGCCGCACAGATTTTCGTAAAACCTAAATCCGCCGAGAAGTAAGTTAAAACCTAAAATTTCATATATGATCACGTAACTAACATATATAAAAAAAAAATTACCAAAGCTGTTTAACTATCGTTTCTATCATCAAAATCCCTATATTTTGAGTATGTTAATACTAAAATCACACAGTCTAAAAATATTAAATTTATCGGATAATTTATTTTTACTCTTTATTAAAATTCAATTTTTAGTGTAATTTCATAAATTGAGCAACAATCACAACAATATACTCGGTATTCAGGATAATTTCATATTTGAAATCTGAAAAGGATAAAACAGAGGAGAACTTGCATAAATCACAATAGTTTAAGAGTTAATTACTTAGATGTACTATAATTTGCAATATTAAGAATTTTATCATATTTTGATGCGTCCAGATATGTTTAGATACATATATCTCGAGATATACAGGGTCAAAATTACGTATTTTTTAATTCTAAATACATTATATACAAGTGGATTCACATGTATCTGAGATACATAACAAATCTCGCTCGCCTCTCTCCCATGTTGCTCGTCACTCTCATATGTATCTGATATCCCAAATACATGTGAATCACACCAGATACGTACAGATACGTGTATCTAGTGTGATTCTCATTCATCTGAGATACATAACAAATCTCGCTCGCCTCTCTCCCATGTTGCTCGTCACTCTCATATGTATCTGATATCCCAAATACATGTGAATCACACCAGATACGTACAGATACGTGTATCTAGTGTGATTCTCATTCATCTGAGATACATAATTTTGCTCATCTCTCTCCCAATTTTAGTGTATATGGTACAAAAATATATGTATCAAAGTTTATTTTCCTCAAAATATGATAGAAAATTCTTAATTAGTGATAAAATATGTAATATTTTGAAAATATAGATAACAATAATATATATGATAGTGAAATATATTTAATTATGTATTTTTTTCCTAAAACATAAGCAGCATGAAGAAAGACCATCGATTTAAATATTGCAAATCAAAGTATTTACGAAGAAAAAAAAATACAAAAATGAAAAAAGACATATCAAATAATAATGAAAGCAATAGATAACAGGAAAAGGAAACAATAATAAAATGAAATAATACGGTAATAACTAAAAGAAAATACATGCATAAGGCTATTACTATTTACTACGACATATATGATGCTTCAGGTTCAGCAAACTTATAAATCCGTTGAAAAATGAGTCGAAATCTAAAATTTCATATATAATTACGTAACAAAATATTTTTCTTTTTATAAAAGTCATTTAACTATCATTTTTTTTTGACATAAAATCACTATATATTAACATATAAGGAAAAAAGACTTGATATACCCTCAATTTTGTTAATTAGAATTTGATATAATGAAAGTGCCACATATATATTCTTACTATTATACAAATGACACATATATATCCTTATTGTTATACAAGGATAATGCTAAATGACCAGAAAATTTGGCCAGAAATTTAAAAAGTCTATAATATTTTTTTATATTTTAAAATAAACTGATCTTTTTTCTATTTTTTTAATTAAAAGATATTAAAGTTAAAAGGGTAAAAATGTTCAAAAAGGTAAAATAACATAGTGTGAAATATGTTATTTTACCATTCTGGCCAAATTCTGTCCAAATTTTCTGGCCAAAAGTATTTTTCTGTTATACAAATAACTCATATAACTGTCTCATAAATTTTTAAAAAAATTAAATTTATAAATTTCCGGTCAAACTTAAACTATTTAATTCTTCGAAAAATGAAATATGTCAAATAAATTAGGTCAGAGTGTTGGGTTATAAAGGTGATTAGAGCGTCATGCGGAAGCTTATAATTTGCAAATCATATGATTGATAAATTAGACAACAAATAAAAACATACTAGAAACATATTATTAATAGTGTTTGGTCAAGTAACCTACATATTATAAAACTAATATAATATTGAAAAAAATATAAATATGTTTAAGAGAAAATCTCCCTATAAACTACATTTGGATGCTATTGTGTTATGCTATGAGAATAAGGATCTTCAATTTATATATCTCCAAACTTTTCCTCTAAGGAAAAAGAATAAACCAAATATGGAAGAAAATTATATTTTCCTTTAAAAAAAATAAAAACTTTTCCTCTAAGGAAAAATAATAAATCAAATATGGAAGAAAATTATATTTTCCTTTAAAGAAAATAAAAGCAATTATGGTAATGCTTTAAATTTTTTTCAAAGTAAAATTAAAACTCAAATATAATAAGAAAATAAGGAAAAACCTAGGAGGAATAATTGTTTCCACAACCTTAAAAGAAAATATTAATTTTAAAAGTATTTCTACCTGCTCTCTTCTTTTACCATTTTCGCTTTCTCTTGTTTGTTGTCATCTCAATCTCAGACAACACAAGAGAAAACAAAAGGATCAGTTGGGGAAGATATACATACTTATTATATCTATACATATATATTGTTTTTGGGTATCAAATCTTGATCCATTTTTGTACAAATTTCTGTCTCTATTTAACAATTCTGAGTGAAAAATGTCAAAAGAAATTGAAATGGGTGTGGGTGTTGATCACACTGAACCCGAACCCGAACCCGAAGAATCTTCTCCTCTGATCCCTCCTAGTTTGATTACAGTACCTAATATTAATGATGATGATGATATTATAGACCTTGAAGCAGGTCCTGATGAACATATTCAATGCCGTATTTGCCTCGAATCTGACGGTTAGTTTTTTTTTTTTTTTTTAGATTTATGGGTTTTGTGTAAAGTTTCAATTTTTATAGATCCCCTGATCTCAATATTGTAAATTGTCTAAGTAGTTCTTGTTTGTTCGTAGATTTTGAAGTTGAAATTTGAAAATTTGAGTTTATGATGTTGTGATTTTTTTTTTGGAAGTAGTTGTGTTTGGATGTGTGGAAAAAAATTGAATTTTTGTGAGTTTAAAGTGAAATATAAAAATTTATGGTCAAATGCTAGCTAAATTTCACAAACGGAAAATACTTACAAGGCTTAGTTGGGAATAAGGGATAGTCCATGTTGGTATATTTACATTAGAGTTAGTGTAGAGATGAGTGTGGGATTTAAGAGATTCTCTAGTTTTTTGAAATTTGCAACGAAGGGTAAGGGTGTGGTCTAGTGTTCAATGAAGTAGTTGGGACTACTTGGAAACTATGAGGTTCCATGTTCAGAAGCACTAGGTAATTTGTTCCCCATGGGTCAAAAAAGCCTTATGGACAGAACCTTAGGGGAATAGTCGAGTTACGTACAAGATGGTATGGATATGACGGTTATAAAGAAAAGGATAAATTTTCTTCGTTTGAAGTGTTTTTTTTTTTTTTTGGAATATAAGCTTGTTTATGTGAATTGTGCAGTTAGCTTATCTTGAAAAGCTTGGTGATGTGGGATTCTTTACATTGAAAATTGAAAGGTTGGTTGTTTATGGTGAATATGGAGTCCAAAATGTGTGTTTTGTCCCTTCCATAAACCTCAAATAGTTCCACAGCCTAAGTGTTTATGGTTGCCTTAATAATGTTCTTCATATCAATGCGAGAGTATGGCTGACTGAAGTTGACATTTTGTCTAGACAAGTGAAACACGCAGTGTCAATTAGGTTTTTGTACTCTCTATTAGGAAAGAAGCTGGTTGTTTAGTTTATTCAAGTGCATGTTAGTATACATCTATATGAAAAAATCATGATTTTGGTAATTGAGATGTTTGCAAATGTTTCACTTTGCTCTTTAGGTAGGGACTTTATAGCACCTTGCAAGTGCAAGGGAACATCAAAGTATGTCCATCGTGAGTGCCTTGATCATTGGCGTGCTGTCAAGGTATTTTTTCAGCCTTTTCAATCAGCTATTTTCAAGGAAGTTTTGAACTTTATTTTATGTTTGTAAGAGCCAAATATTAGAGTGCTGGTGAAGCTTTAGACCAATACATCCAGTACAGGCTGCATGTAGTGACACGAACTTTCTTAAGCTTGAACCGCCAAACATGCAAGTTTATCTACTCATAGCAAATATTTTGTCTTTTACAGGAAGGATTTGCCTTTGCCCATTGCACTACTTGCAAAGCTCCCTATCACTTGAGAGTTCACGTTAATGATGATAGAAAATGGCGGACTTTGAAGTTCCGATTTTTCGTAACCAGAGACATTTTATCCATATTTCTTGTGGTTCAACTTGTAGGTGGTTGTCCCTCTTTAGTTTTGTTGTTTGATTTTTGAGATGTCTCTTTAATCCTCTCTGTCGAAACTATATTCAGTTGATGGCTTAATTCTACATGCAGGTTATAGCTTCATTGGGATACTTAGTTTACTTCATTGATACATACAAGAAATCCTGGCTTCGTTTGATTTGGGGATTCGATAGTGAACTAAGCTTCTATTACATATGCGGTAAAACATCATGAGCTTCAGTAGTTACAACAGTCCATATATGTTTTATCTCTAACTTTTAGGTGCTTTATTGTCATTATCTTTTTTTCTGCTAATAGTAATGTCCTCTTTATTGTTTTTCCTCGGGGATTTAAAGCTTCTTCTTCATTTATTTTCTTTCCATTGGGATTTTTCTTATGATTGATATGGTTTTTGAGAAATTTATTTATATTCTTAAAAAACTTTCTCAAGGTTGGGAAATTATATACTTCAAGGAGCTTAAGCTGCTATCCTTGTTTTGCTTCATTTAATGGACAAAATTCTTTCT